AACCCGGCGTGTGGGTTATTTTCATTCAGTTGTTGAATAATAAAGATTTTTCTCGTTTTGTCTTTGTGTTTCTCTTGCGTTCTTCTCTGTATTTTTCAATTGATTCCAGCCTGCAGAATAATCACTATTCTGCTCGGCGTCACAAAGCCACAAATTCCAACACCTTGTTTAGATCAAAACTGTGGAAGTTGAATTTTGCTCAGAAGAATAATCTAAACAACTTGGACAATTTAATATACTCGAGGAATGCCATCATGCAAGAAGTATGACCGACCAGTAAAATGAAAGCAAGTATAGTGTATAAGATATTATAAACAGAAAAAGGAAGGAAAAAAACCTTCTAAATGAAGTGCCTACTGAATTTTCAGGATTGCGGTTAGGCCAAGTCAAGATGTCGGTAAAGGTGCCAGAAATCCCAGCTTCTGAAATTTTCATTTCAAAACTTTTAGAGAGCTCAGTCAAAGATGTATGTTTTACATTCTCAGTAATAGCTCCCATGAGCTGCAGCATCCCTGGTATCCACTTTTTACTGTGCAGATATTGGGACACCTGCATGTTATGAATGAAAGGTCAAACGTAGGAATTTAAATTGGACTTGTGCTACACTCTACGTAATAAACAAAATTCACTAGGTACATTAGATCAGAGTTGATCTGGAGCCTGTTCAATGACATTATCATTCCAATGGACCATTATCCAATAAAACTATTGTGCAAAACAACATTATGACACCAAAATACTATGGTAAATTACACTAATAAGAACTGAATAACATGATTTTTGCTCTAGTGATGCAATGAAATCCGGCTACCAAATATAAACAAGAAAGAGAGCAGAAGGTATGACCAAAACATGTTATAGAGTGAAACCAGTACTCGGAGAACTAAAATAATCTTAGTGGTAAAACCATACCTTGCTCAACAGAGAATTCAGGTCCTGAGGATGTGATTTGGCAATTTCCCCTATCTGCCTGGCTGCAGTAAACCTCATCGCTTAGGTCGAACCCATTTAGCTTTTGTTGACATTAAAATTTGTATAAACGATATTCAAGCCAACTTAAAGAAAGAAACGTGGATTTCTTATTGAAATGACCAAGAGTTTACAAGAATATGATACAATCCATCTCTTTGCATAGTAATAGGAGATATTGTAAGTATGGGAATGTGCTAAGAGTTTGTATATGCTTGTATTTACGTTTTTTTTTCTCTCCCTTTTGGGCTTGGGATCCCTATTTATAGGGAAAATATACATACATGTTGCACATTCCGTCTTTTCACTGGAATTTCGAGCTGAAGAAGTACAGTGGCTGGTACGATAAGAATGGTTGTCGAGCTGGATTCTGTCAGATTACTTCAGAGCATTAATTAAAAGTGGACCCCTGCAATTAATGCTTTACTTAGTGGAGAATGCTAATACTTCTGATTGGAGGATTATGTGGGCGCTGATGTAAGATATCTCCAACTGCATTTCTGTGATTGGTGGCTTATATATCCTGTCAGAGATTCTCAATCATCACATACTTCCTTGCCTTGAAAGACTACACAAGCTTCTCGCAGAAGGTATCTACCTCCGAGCTGACCTCATACGATCGAGCTCAACATATGTTCTGCTAATGACGTGGATCAATTCGACCTTAATCAATTCGGAGGTCGGTGTCAACAGCTTTCATTAAAGAGAAAACAATATGCCGCATAGACACCAATTGACACCAAAAACACAAAATAAGAAGAGAAGAAAGAATCTGAAGTATCATCCTCATATGTATACTTGCCCACTATATACTAAAATTACTTATAACAGGATAAAGTAAAAAGATTGAAATATTTACAAATTCAATGCAAGGACACATGATCATTAATGCGTTCATGCCTTTCTACTAAAGAGATGTTGACATTCACAACAAATAACCATATAGATACTTACAAGACACCAATTGACACTAAAAACACAATTGTCGAACCCATATGGTTTGTAATTTAATTCATATTAAGTACTGTACTTTATCTAGAAAATTGAATCTAAAGTCAATGTTTCTACACTAAATTAACGTGGATGTGTGATAATTCAAGTAAAAAAGGCAAATTATAGGAGAGTTATCAATATGAGAAGGCATAGGGATTGATTTCACCTCACTATCAATAATGTTTTTCAACTTCTATAGTTACTTCTATCAATTTTTCCTAAATTTATAGGTGAGAACCTTATGTTAATTCTATTCCCTCTTTCGAGTGCTGAATATAACCTATTTTTATATTTTAATTCTAATATCTCTATTCCGAATTAACACTATAGAAATTATATGCGCAGGGTTCTTAAATGGTATAAGCCTCAAAGATTTTATATTTTCTTTCGAAATATACAAAATCTAGGTTATGTTATTCTTAGATCGCGCATAAAGCTCCTTATCTCGATACCGAAATTTAAGGTATCAAATTATTCAATTATTGATCAAGTAATTGAAAGTATTGTGTAAGAATCAACACAAATAAATTAACGAAAAAGTCAAACGAAATAACTATATTAGAATCCAAACATGTATCAAGTTTAGTAACATCACACCCTAGATAATAAAATTAGTTCATGACTACAAGAAACAACATATAAAAATCTAAAATAAAGAACATGGAGGAGAAAAGAATAAGAAAAAATATTTTGCTACTTGAATTCTTCTCTAAATTGTTGTTGTTTTTGCTCTCAATGATTTCTCTTCTTCCTTGGCTCCTAAGCTGTCTTCTTATCCAATTTTGCCAACTTTTGCTTAGTTTCTTTAATTTAATCAACTTATATCACAACATCAAAATACACGTTAAAGTGCTCTAAAACTTGTAGAAATTAGTTAAATATCAAATTTAGATGATGTCTAAAATATGAATGAAATACACTCATCAAGTATATGCCACTATAACCAAGAAGAGAAATTAATGAGCATTTTCTGTTAGTTTATAGGTGGATTCATAAGCTTATCTTCCTCTGAACTCAAAACATTCCTTCAAATCTGTTGTATCTGCCACTGTTGTTGTATTTGAAAGAAGGTTTCTTCTTTTTATCTTTTCAATATATCTACGTTATCTTATAAACCAGTCATTTTATATCATCCACATTGAAATATTGCTTTTCAATTTAAAGCTCAGATTTGTTTGGCTCTGTAATAATTTACTTCACTCTAATGGTGTTACTATTACCCGGATCTTACCTGCCCAGTGAGGACAGCTCGTTCAGTTTGGACACTAGGTACTTTCTTATGGTTAAATAGTTTTCTACACAAGAAAATTAGATTAGTCCTTTTTTAATTTGTGCGAAAGTTTATGAGATAACTATTTCTTGACTACTTTTCACAAGATTTTGAATTTACAGTTTGGGTGAACTATAAAAATGTGAAAGATTTTGGTAGAGATAAACCTAAAAATTTTGGTTTTGGCAGAAATCTAAAATACTTGTGAATAAGAGTGATATGAGATTACTCATCACTAATCAAAGATGAAAATGAGCAAACTGATAGATATTTTTCATCATTTTGCATGTGTTATCTTTTGTTTTGCGAATGTTTTGCCGCCCCGACTAGTGTTTGCCGCTACGCAACGGGGATCGACCTGCCCGGTCAGGTCGCGGGGGTCGAGGGGGCAGCGCCCCCCGTGGGGGCTCGGGGGCAACGCCTCCGAAAGAGAATTTTATTTTC